AGGCTGATCTTACACCGGGGGGTTGGCATATTGCATATAGTATAGTACGTTGTGTTAAGTGTCTTACAGTTTAATAGTTCGTTAATGCTGTTTTGATCTTTTTGTGCAATTATAGTACTGTGCGGCAACCAGAACTGGGTGTAGACAGCCCAAAGGCAATTGCTCTACCAATTTATTTGATCCAATATGCTGTATTAAGTTCAACAAAAATCACCTTATAGATCCATAATAGCTACAAAGGATTTTGGTCAGAGAAACAGGTCTGCATACCAGCTTTAGATACTTGAAACTACAACATCTGGATCAATCTGGCATAAATCATGATAAGACACTTGACTCGAACCCTGCTTCCGAGATTTTCCCACCTACATGGCCCAAAAAGAAAACCTCGGCACCACCCGCATGACACGCCGAACGCGGAACGGATCTGGTCTGAAGCCATGAAACACATGAAATGTATCTATGCCAAAAAGACAATGGGACCTGATCTGACCCTATAAACAAACACGCATATAGTTATACCATATGTTATACCAATATTCCGAGGTACTTTGAGACTCCAGGTGTATCCGGTATATCTGACAGATTTCTTGGCTCCCCTTTCTACTTTTCCCCAGCTTTGACATTGGGTCGAGGAAGCGACAAAGACGAGGCCGGTTTTTGGGCGTTTGACATTGGGGCGAGGAATGGGAACCTTCAGAACGCTTCAATCCAAGATTCAGACAACTCCACCGAGATGTAGCCTAAAGATGTTGTGCCATGAGGACAGATCTTGCCTTAGGACATGCAAAACGTCGCTTCAGCGGAACGGGTTTTCTTGAAGTTCCGACCCGTGTGATGGCCGGACGCATGACTTGGGAGAAAAGGTCCTCCTTCAGGACTCTTGGAGAGGATCATGAGGTGAAAGCGACTATTTCCTGGCTTTCAAAGACCAGTCAAAGAGTTCTGCTGACCTGTAGTCTAAAATCCTTACAGTAAGTAAAACTGTAAAACCATAGTTGTTCGGGATTCCTCAACATTGCAGGACTCCACGACCTAAACATTGCATGGAGTTGGAATCATCTCCGGATGTTCATCGCCTGGACCAGTTTGTGTGGAGTTTTGCTCGCCACTGACCACGTGGTGTGTGTGTGTGTGTTGGGTCGTTGATCTGAAGCTGGATGCCGGTGAGGGCCAAAGAGAACACTGAGTACTGCCCAAAGTTAAGCCACAGCCAACTTTCGGACGCCCTTGTCAAGCAGGACTCACTCCGCGGTCCTGTTTATGGTTTGCTTTTTAGAGTATCTTTTTTGCATTTGTGGACCTTTGAGCAGTTTGTGATAGCCCAATAGGCTCAACACAACCCCTGGAGTACAAACCAAAAGGGACTATATATACATGCACAAAAGGTGCTTGGACAGAACAACGTATCATCATATTTAGGCTATATATATACGGTTTTAAACCATGTTAACAAGAAACTTTCCACCAAGACTTGCACAATTTGAGGAACATCACAGCCTGAATCCGCAGAACCTTGTACAACCGCCCTCCAAGTGTGCCAAAATCATCCAAAACGCATGCACTTTGGCCCTGAAGATCTTGATAACTGCCAATTCCACAGCGCTTGCAGGTCGTGCTCCCATTCCTGACTGCCACTTCACAACAGGATCTGCAGCCACATGTTAAGCAGGTTAAGCTTGCATGACACGGAAATAACAACTAAAATAGGGTGGCGGTGGCAACCTAATCTGGTGATATCTGGCGATTATACTCCATTTCGATGCCAACTCTCTGTTTCCGCTACAAAACAAGCACATAACCTATGGTGTGGGTAACGCACCGCCAAGACATTGGTAGTTGAGAAGAGCGCCTGGGGTGTTTGCAAGTACAACCAATGGAAGGCCATCTTCTGACTCTACCGGTGCTATTCAATTGGATCAATCCAACAGAAGCGCCACAAGAATCCAACATGATACTCTGAGAGTATGCAACCTGAAACCTACCAAATATCAGAACAGTGGATCAATCACACACGAACTATGCCATATAATTGCAAACTTCAATTGTACCGAAAGGCTCATGGCGTCATCATGGCGCTGCACTCTTCCTTCGATTCCCGGACACCATGGCGAAACTGATGTGTTCTTTTGAGTTTCTCGGAGATCGGACCCGGGACCCTACCTATCTGACCAAATCTGACCAAATCCTGGCGTCGCTCGACAGGCGTCGCGAGTTTTGCTCATGGCCCCCCCCCCGCGCGGGGGTTCGGTCATGGCCCCATGTGTGGTCACTCTCCGAAAAGTGCAACAGTTCCTCGGACGGTTCTGGAATATCTCGCTGCAACGGCCCAACAAAGACAATGACGCAAGACATATTATCCATCGGCGCATTGGAGCCTCCGCAAAAAAATGAACTTAATTGGAATAACGTGGAATAGTAAGAAGACACTAGACTAAAACCATCTACTGTTTAAAAAAAACATTGGTTGGGGGCTCTCTGTATTTCAATACACACCCATATAAGCCAAAAGGATTCTGATTGATGTTCGCACGACCATAGCATAGCATAGCCAAGATAGTACGAGTTTCAAGAACATCACATTGTGTGATGTGAACAAAATCGGACTCCACTGTTTTTCTTTTTCAGAAGGGGTATCCAACATGTTGAACCGGTGAACAGTGCGCGGCATGCAATGTTGCTTAAGGGTGCGAGGTGTTCGATCGAAACCAGTGAAAACAAGTATAGTTTCTAAGAGATCTAAGCGGTATCGAGCAGCAGTCATCCTGAGATTCCTTCGCAAACCCCGGATCCCGAATCCGGCTGTGGGGTGCATCTATCTCAAAAAAAAACAAATTGCCTGCAAACAAGCTTCTTGTCTTGATATCGTCCCTCTGGGCACGGATTGCAAGACAACCTTGGCGTGTGAAATTCTCGGAAAACGAAGCAAGCTCATAACCATCGAAAACCATCGCTGGTCTGGAAGGTTCGGGAAATAGACCAGTCATGACCAGTCTACCCAGCTAGGGCCAGGGGGTCTCTTTCCCTATTGACTATTGACATACAAACCCAAGTGGCTCATCGTTGGTGCTGTGGCTGATGGCCTTATGGGGCCCTGGTTGATTCCAAATTATGAACTACTACACGCAGTGATTCGCAGGCATGGACCAGTGTCAACCTAGCATGCTTGGCTTCCTTGCTTACAAGCATTGAAGATGTTCCCATGTGTGTGTGTGTGCAGGTAAGTGTGTGTGTGTGCGTGCGTGTGTTTGTGTGTGGACAGCAAGGTGTTTGCCACACACAACAAATGGTTGGGAATTTGCTGTCAAACATCACCAATGTTCAAAGGACAAATAGGGCACAGAATTGGTACCCTTCGGATCAATTTGGACCGGCACTCACCTTTGTCAGCCGAGGTGCGAGGCATTCTGCGCCTGAAAAGTGCCCAAGCCGCAGGGGAGGCAAAGGTAGGTTGACTGACCTCCATCAGTTCCTTAGGCCAAGGGAAGTCGAAAATCCGATGCCAAAGTAGGTGAAACAAAAATTGCCTGCGCCTGCGCTGCGCTTAAGCAGGTGGCACGTGCAAACTTTTGGAGCAGCTGGCTGGGCTTTCGCTCGCTGTGTTGCGAGGTTTTGGTACCAAACTTCACCAATCCATTCGATCTCCAGGCCGTCAAATCACTATAGACTATAGGCCGTCAATATAACTCCCAACAACTCTCACACCTGGACCACCTGAAAAGGGTTTCGTCGCAACGAAGGATTTCTCAAAACTCCCCCACTTTTCGCCCCGGGTGCCCTTCTCATACTGTCTCTTTTTGGTGTGCCCGTCTCGTTCTCGGCTCTGAAAGGCAAGAGAAACACAAAGACCCAAGGATTCGTAGCATAGATTAAATATACAATGGTCTTTACTTTACCCAACAAGGATGGTATGGACTAAGGTGTTGTTGTTCTATTACAAAATTAGGTCCACGATGTTTAACCTGTTCTTTGACAGGGAAGATATTGGCAACATTGGGCACATCATGGCACATCCTCAAATGGTTTCAATTCGTTGGATCTCTGAGCCCGTTGGTTTCCGCTCCAAAGAACCACATGAACAACTCCACAACCGTGATGAACCACACCCAAACTGGTTGCCTGCGTTAATCAACTCAGTTCTTCATGTCCGTACCCATCTTAAAAGAACCTGCAAAACCGCCTGAGATGGGACAAGTGACTGACCATCTATAGTTGCTAAAGCCAGTGATACCTTATCAGTCGATGATCCTGCCTGGCTTCCCACCCATCCTCACCACCCCCACCCCCACCCCCTACGGCCCCCCGCATCCTGCCCAGCGGCTGGCGGAGAAGTAGCCCCCCTCACAGGGTTGGCAGTCCAGGTCTCCCGACGCGAAGGGAAGCGCCTCCGCGCCCACGAAAGCACCTCCGACGGCACAACGGCGCGTCGGCGCGGGGTTCGGGTGCCGCGTTTGGGCGCGAGCGAGCCGAACGGACCGAGGGAGTGCCTTTTGACCTGCTGGATCGGGTCAAGATGTGTCAAGCAAGAAGTCAGGAGGATCAATCCAGGCACAGTGGAAACTTAAAGAACATCGCAACACGTCGTGTGTCGCATCGTGCGACCTCGGAAGAAGTCTGGAAAGGATTCCTGACTTTGACGAGATTTCGTAGAGACTCACAAGGCCTGTTGAGGCAAAGAAGGCCTGGGTGGCTGGCCACCATTGCTCACAAGTTTCATCGACTACTCCCATGATCTCCCATGTACTTGATGTATCTTGACCAAAATCTTCATGTACTTGACTACTCCCAAAATCTCCCTTGTCTTGGAAAACAAGCCTCTCACCAGTCAGTCCAGCTCCGGGTGGCGATGCGAACTTCAATTACCTACCAAGCTGGAGATGTACCTTCTCAAAGGACGACCTGATCACCTAAAAGTGGACCACCTGTTGGCGACCAGGGCGAAGACCGCCCTGTTGGCGACATGGTGGAAAACCATGTGTCGGTTCAACGCGTGTCGTTCTCCCAATCGTTGCCAAGGAGCCAGTGGTCTGGTCAAAAAGCCCGAAGTGCTCTGAGCATGACGCGGGGGCCGGTAGCCTTAGGCTGTGACACATGGCTGAAGGCGTTGAATGGCTTTCAGGTGTATGTGGAAGATGGGCAAGCACAATGCAGTTAAAATACTGTAAGAATGTACGCGTATGTATGCCCTTTGATTCCCGGTGTAGGAACATAATCTTCTGGTAGGAAAGGTTTTCTGAATTAAAGAAAGCAAACAATAGACCCCATAGAAACCCTACGTGAAAAACAAACACTGATTCAATATATTACAATTTGTATAACTTGAGAATATATCCCATTACCAGCAACAGTGGATGATGATGGTTAGCAAAGGCCTTTCTCAAAAATAGTTATTATCCTTTACCGACTGTTACTGGTATGGGCTACACCTTATAACATAATATAACATTATGTATAATATTACATAATTCTATAGAACAACATGGAACAACACAATCAACACCTCTGTGAAACAAATGTTAGATCATCTGTGGCCGCCATTGGCGCACATGAAACCCGCAAATCCATAAACAAACTGTTTTTTCCTATGGTTCTACTTCTTTCCCCTCCAGCTACATGACATGGGGATGCCTCAATGCCAGGACAGTGTGATCAATCAACACTCATCAAATTCCACTTTCACTGTCCTTGGTGGCTTCCTTAATTTTGCCGAGTTCGTACTCGTACGCATATAAATACTCTGCAGGTGCCAAACGAGTTTGAGTGCACACAAATCAGTGTATCCACTAAGTGCGGGACTCCGAGCCACCAACAAAAACTGGTTTGATTCATGATTCAAGTCAAGATAGACCCCAGCATAGACTCCTGAACCAAGCGTTGTTTGTTCCTTTTCCCACCGAGAGGCCAGGTCTGCCAAAGCTCCTGGTTGCCCTGCAGCCATCGACAGGCCACGGTCTGGTACGAGTCTCCGGAGGTCACTTGATCCTGGCACTGTCGCTCCGGTGCAGCGTGGGGAGGGGGAGGCAGCCCGCCCGTGTTGGGGTATGAAGAATCAGGCTCCTTCCGTCTGGATTTCCCATTGAACACCTCTTGAAAGGTATAGGAACTCTTTCCATGGATGGTGTGTTGCTGCAATTTGCTGGAGATGTTCTGCCAATGCCCTGGTGTTTGCAGTAAAACAAGTAGTTCAACCCTCCATGTAAAAGGCGTGAACCATGTCGTTGTCGGCTTGGAAAGTCTTCAGCTGAAATCCGGCCACTTAAATTCACTGGCTAGCTAGTTCCCGCTCCCGCCTCCAGTAGCCCGTTCACCGCGGACAAGGGGAGCTGAAAGGCCTCCAACCTAGGCATTCGAAGTCACAATGATCCACATGTTGTCGCTGCTGTTGCCCCTCTGCTGTTCTTGTCGACATGTTCTTGTGTCTTGCATTGCAGCGTGCAGCTTTGATCGTACGTGATTGTTGTGTTGTTCTCCGTTGTGGCTATTGGTTCGCGGTGATGTTATGTTTATTGTCGTGTCTTTGTTGTGCTGACTCTCGAAGGTCTACCCCCCTACTGTAAGTCTCATTCCATTGACCTTGCGGTGCCCCTATGTTGGTCACCACGGACAACAAACATGGAAGACGGATACGGTATGGTAGAGTCATAAACAAGAATCCGCCATGCTTCCAGGTTACGTTGCATCCCCACCCTGTGCTCTCCGGTAACTCAGACGGTCGCATCGGATCTTCACCAAGCAACAGCTGCAGCACCTGCGGTGCCATGAGAGCCAGGTCCTGCGGCAACCCGGAGCTCCGTTTCAAAAAAAAACACAGCCGATTGGAGAATGCCAGGGCAAATGATGCGGAGCTTTGGTGCAGAATACTTCTTAAGGAATCATACAGTAACTTGTACAGAATAACTAGCTAGCTCCAGAACTAAGGCACTCACAACACTCATACCATATCGTTCTCATCCTCATCTCCACCAAACAAAAAAAATAATGAATTCATTCCCAGACCATCCATGTATGGCATGGAATAGTTACATATGAATTATATGAATAGTTACTTACATGGATGGGTCATAAATGTGGTACATAAACCAAATAAATGTACCAGGAGCATCCAATGGGTCTGAAAATAGACCACCCTATCACTACATTTGAGGCTTTCCATCCCATCGCACTCGGTCGACCACTCGACACGGCGTCGGAGCATACGACGAGATGAGCGAGATCGCGAGACGCGGTGCACGGCGGATGGTCGCAAAGGTGACAGGTCTAAGGGGTCCAAGCTGTACCAATAGGGGTCTAAAGGGTGTAAGGGGTCTAAGTCTGCGAAAGGAAGAGAGTACCAAGCCGTACCAAGTCTTGACCCCCCGCCCGGAGGGGTTTTGTAGGCCTCCTCAGGTGTTTGGTTTAGACCAAGCGAAACCACACCCAAAGACCTAAGGACGTCTAAGGAGGTACAGTACTTGGAGCCAAACGGGCATGGATTTTGAGGTGTGGAAAAGGTGGTTTCATAGCAGTGTTCTTTGCGCCGCACATATGAAGACGGCGGCCTTATGCAAAGTTATCAACCACGAGTTCAACCATACAAAAACAAAAGGCCTTAAGACGCTTAAGATACATAATGAATCATTGAATTGAAACAAACAATCACAAATCTAAACTCTTCCCTGGGGTCACTGGGATAGCAGGTCCGCTCCGACATTGGCCCCTTTTGGAACCTGACAGCACTCTGGTCGCTCCAAGCACTGGCCTGGCTCACGTACTTGTCCACGGAGACCTGCAAACACAAGCACGGCGGCAAGGTTCTGAGAGTCACCAGGTGGACCAATAGGTGGCTCCAAAGACGTCGCCATGAAGACATTGCCTTGTCCGACATGTCGCTTCCAAACATCCGACTGCTCACCCTTGAGTGTTTTCCACATGAGAAAGGAGTCAAGGGTCCATGATGTCGACTTCAACGCATCAAGTCTCTGCACAAGAGGCCATAGTTTACTGGGATGTGTTTAAGGAACCGACAAACAAATACAACATATATTCCCCATGCCAGGAGATGCACCCATATGCAGGGAACATTGCAAATACCCGATCCACAAAACCAATGTGCATATCATGTTTGGGCTCTCATGATTTTGTGTTTCTTGGATAATGTTTGGCGTGTTCCGTTGACCATACCTCACCGAAAAATACGGTGACATGTGAACAAACCCACTTCCTGTTTAGTATTTATTGATATAGACGTTAATTGGTAATTTATAACAGGTAACCAGCTACCAAGTTGTACAAAGTCTACACAAACTGCCCGCTCAACCACTCGCATGATGAACACACCACGCGGAACTGCAACAATTACTTTGTCTGATTTGAAGAGTCTTTGCCCACCCATGACTTACATCAGCCAAACCTGATACTGATACAACCAAAAAAACACAAACAAAAACCTTACCTGAAAGTATGGGCCTATGAGTATCGTACACCTGGACATCCTGGACCCTTGAAATTACCTTCGAAAATGGGACATGACCCTATACATCCTATACAAAAACCGGTACTTGTTCCCATTTTCTGAGGTACGTGTCTCGACGTCGTCGCCTCGTCGTCCCAAAACCGGCCCGTTCCACCTCCGGCGCTGCGGTCTGGTAATCCCCAGCAGCATGAGCCATCGGGTCGTGGCGGGGTCCAATTAACTCCATCGGCTTCAGTGCCTGGGCTCTGTGGAGTTGGCGCAGGTGGAACCAGGTGGAACCTGCCCTGCAACTGGTTGGTGGGAGTACCTGGAGGCGCACTACGCATGACTCTGGGAGATGGATTTCTGAGATATGCACCTGAGAGACGCTCAACTCACAATGGGGGGTGGTCATCCTGGCCTGCAAGGGAACAAGCTGCTACAAAAGTGTCAAACAAAGCTCGATCGCACTTCATCTGATTTCCTCTACGATCTTGTTTTTCAAGAAGAAGTAGTCCGCAGCCACTCCCACGTTATTTTTCGTACACAGCTTGGCTTAGGAATTGGTCGACATCATGTCACGTTTTCGGAACGCAGTATGCAGAGTAATTATCAGGAACGGCCAATTAGATCCAATTGTATAGGATCAATTTTCAGATGAGAAATGAAGATCATGAAGAGCTCCGGAGTTCACAAATCGTAGAGGCGCCTGGAAGAGATCTCTTTGATATCCCAACTTTCCTCCACTTCCCGACAAATCTTGCAGCCCTGGCCAGAACATTCCAAAGTCGTCCATAAAAGGATGCACTTCCGGCCCCGAAATGACTTCGATCCGCTGAAAAGCTTGATCTATCCAGCTCACTCTGCAGCTGACCACTTCCCCTTTTTGGTGCATCCTCTCGGCGAACACCGCCTGCATCAGCCGCCGACATGACGCATCCGCATCGCCCGGAGCATCGTCACACCGAGCGTCCAAAAAGGTGGAGTCAGGGACCCACCAGTAGAAGAGGCTCGGTGAGACCTCCCTGGGCAACGCCTCAGCCACCCCGAGACTGGAGAGATTGGCCGTGTCGGGTCAGAGAGAAGAAGGGAAAACGGTGGAGATTGGGTGTGCAGGGTCTTCATTGTTGTCATAGTCTGGAGAAGACGATCAAAGTAATCACACACTGTGAGTCGTCAGAGTAGAAACACACGCAAAGTCGTCAATCAACAGTTTGGGATGGTAGAATCATGAACTTGGAGGAAACACCTATGAAAGCCATTGAAAGCCTAATTAAGAGGTGTACCAACCACCAGATTCTCATAGTTCTTTTGGCTCAACCTGCGGCTATTCCTGTTGGCTCAAGCTGCCTCTTTTTGAGAGGGCACCAAAAGACCTGGAGAATCTCTGGCCCTTGCATTTGGGACCTGTGACAGCAGGAATTGAAGTTGAAACAAAAGACATTGACTCAGGTGATTTTTTTCCTTACAGGGATGTAACGTAACCATTGTCCTTCCAAAGACTCATGTGCAGGGTGGACCTGTCTTTCAGGTTTTTCAAGTACAAAAGTACCGCGAAGTACCCCAGTGGCTGTCCACAGCTGAAACCGAAACCACTGAAATGCCTAGATAAGGAAATCATCGGCCCAGGCGCCACAAGGTCCTCCTGACTCTTGGCCACCGCCATGCGCAGCGGCAACTGCCAGGCTGTGGCCTTCTGCATACCTCGGCTTCACAGCGCCGGGCCTTTTGTGCGATGGAACGACTGGCTTGAACACGACTAACTCAAGAGGAAAATCATGCTGGTGAGCTATGAAGCTTTGTAGATCCATGAATTGCCATGAATTCTCCATGTACGCTGGAGGCTCGAGGTGCCTGGAAACACGGGATGCGGACCTCTTTGATCCTCTATGTATTATTCTTTCAAAACAACGGAAGGGCACCAAAGGCATCACAGACTTGAAGTGAAGACCAGTAGACTCGATTCGCAGACGGGTGGACATCCATGGACAAGGAATATGGACAGTACGTGGAAACTAGACACATAGACGATCATCCTGTTTGGAATATAGTTTCCAGATCATCTAGAAACTGCTGCAAAGCAGGGTCTGTGGTCTGAAAACCTTCACTGCAAGAATGCCCCGGCTCGGTACCAGTACTGTGGGGGTACTTCGACAGTCCATGGCACCCAACGATGCACTCCACATCACATGGGCTGGTGGAAAAAAGAACGAGGTTGGAGGAAAAACGGTCTTCCCATGCAGGAGAAAAACTCAATCCTCTTCCAGGCTACAACAGGTTGCAATATATTCAATGAGTCTTGGAGTGGCATCCCCACATGCCATGTGTGCAGGCGGGGTGTCAGCCACTCTTATGCGAACGTCAGCCACTTGCGCCAAGGGTCTATCTTCCAGGTTCCAGCCATCCTGACGCACATTACTTCTGCACTGCACAGCCGTTCGGTCTTTGGATCACTGAAAGATGGATGGGGCTACAGAATAGATCACCCAGTGGGTCACCTAGCTTCTAGCAATACATTCACGTGCATATACTGCATTTATATATACAAACAACATATTATATATATAATACTATATATATATAATATATAGTATATATATATACTTGAATCTTCCTAGGTCTGTCCCTTTTCAGTCTGCGAAGGGACATCCGACCTCTTTGGACCCGCTCCGGATCGGATCCCTTTCGGGTGCTTTGGCAGATTCGCCGGAAGCGTGGGGGGGAAGCGTGCTGTGTTTCGCCCAAACCAAGTCCCGAGGATCTGAATGTTTCACCGCGAGGTACATTTTCACCCTGGAGGAAACGTCTCGGGATTCTCTTGGTGTTTTCCGGTACTTGTGTTTCATTCTGGTTTTGGAGGCTTGTCAAGTTGTCAAGTCGGTTTGGGTACGGAATGGTTCATGCAATGGCCCATAGGCCGACTCATCCTTTGCTAATTCAATTCAATGCCCGAACTCTTTTTATGGTGTCGGCGTGGGATGTTTTTTTCTTCCCCGGATCAACATGTGTGGCAGTCTGGCCTCGGACTGGAAAACATCATCATATACAGTATGTACACATGCAAGCACGCACCACCCCCTGATATAATGTGAGCCTGTTGCGTGATGCAAACTACCACCCAGAGTCTATGGATCCTCAAACTTAGCACGTTTCGGAGGCAGGGTCAAAACCCAGCAAAAGGTACGGGAGAGCGGATTAGTCCTTTTTTTGCAACTGAAGGAATGTCTAGAGTGTATATAGATGGTCATGCAATGGAACAATTTGGTGCTGATCGGGTTGAGCCGTTTACAGAATTGGACAAAAACACAAGAATGGTCGAGCAAAATCCGATTGAAAGAATCTTCTGTTTCAAACCGGTTGGTTTCAAAACGAATGGTGTCTGTCAGATGCACCTTTATAACTACCTTTGTATGTTTTGCACCTGTAGTTTCAAAGGCTTTGTCAAATCCAACTCCAACAATAGACCATAATCTAAATCCATGGGAGGTTGGGTTTCGCGCTGCTTCACGAAGTTCAAGGCCCGCATTCCTTGAAAATACAGCCACACGGAACATCATAGGTGCCGGCGATCCCCAAAAGATTGGTGCAAATTCTGTGTCCAATCTGTTCAAAGCTGGAACAAAAGCTGGAACCAAACCAAAAACTAAGGAAAACATGTTAAACAGTATGGTACAAACACAAAAATTGCAACTACATTCAACACACATTAGTTTACATTCAACCTCCCCTTGAAGGTAGGACCCCTTTTGACTCCTTTTTGGATCGCCAAGTCGCCCCTCCGGTGAAGAACATCACACAGCGGCCAAGCCCGCGACATTTGGGCGCCAGCCAGAAGAACTCCTCGAAACACCTGGGAGAAAACACGGAGTTTCAACTAGCAAGATGGTCAAGCCACAGTCGTGGCTGACCTTGTGGCTAAATGCCTGAATTGGAGCAGTCTGACGTGTGGAATGTAAACAAAAACCGTGTTGAACATGCTTTTACATACATTCCACATATACCAGGACCCTCCAACAGGTCACCACCTGCCTCTTTTAAGCCTACAAAAGCCTCCGAGGAGACCTGTTGGGGGGTGCTGGTATAAATGGTCCATCGTGGCGTGTTCATGAGGATTTGGGAGAACAACATACCACTTGTTTGTTCTCAACAGTCTCCTGTCTGCTCAGTTGATGCAAATCAGTTGATTTGATGCAACTCAGTTGATTTCGTTGGGAACTTCTTGAAGAGTTAAAGCTGGAACTGGTTTTCAGTTCTTATGGCTCGCAGTCGAGCGTCTCTGTCTGGAAGGAGGCCCAGGCCACCCACACAGACGGACCAGAAAGGTCCTGGATGCCTTCTTTTCCCCTGTCCAACAAGTCTAAGCCGTGTTGTGTTTGAAGCGATCTTCAAGAAAGCATCTGTGTAAACACTTCCGCAACCAAACAGGGCTAATTCTTGCCGTTTCATCATTTTGTGCCTCGCAGCTCATATCAGAAACAGGGTTGTATAGTAGCCTCTTGGAATGGACATCAAACAAACGAAATTGATCTCATCTCAAACTTCTTATATAGTTATCTTTTGGAAACCGATTGACATCAGAACATCAATCCGTCAGTTGGAAGTTGAACTGATCCCGTTTCCAACACATCAAACAACTGAAAACTTCACTGGGGACGCCGCTGGCGGCGCATGGCCAGCCCTGCCCTGCCCCGCTGACGACGCTCTGTCGCGCCTCCCGTGCAGCTCACCCGTGGAGTTGTCCAGGCCATCAAGGTCGCCAGTGACACGCAGGTAGCCAGTCATCAGGGAACCTGTGGCACTGGGTCGGTGGCTCTGGTGCGGCAAATATTTATATATTTATCTATATATATATGTATATACTGCCAAGTGTGTGTATATATATATAGAGAGAGAGTCATGGAGTTCTGTATGTTATTGAAAGGTATACATTTATGGCACATGGTATAGATACATACATAGGGCGTCTGGTCTATTGGGGTCAAAGGGTGGTGTGCGTGTATATCACTTCTGTGCCGCGTAGAACGACGGATCAGCCAAGCAATGTTAATTCGAAGCTTGTGTTCGTAGAGCGACATGGTGGGGACACTAGCGAGTGGTGCAAGGAGCTCCTGGTAGCTCCGAACGGCTCCGCTCCGAATCGCTCTGAGATCCGTTGGATGTGACGGTCCAAGCCGGCAGTATCGGTATCACAAAGGTCTGAACGGTTGTGATATCACATGGTATCACAAAGACCGGTTGAAGATTTGTGAGTAGTACATAGTACTAATTAGTCCGTACACTCCCCTTTTCACCTCCCAAAAAGGGCTTCAAGGCGACTGGAAGGAGCTTTCGAGAGCTTTCAGCGATGCTTCTCTGGCCAGTGCCGCTTCCTCTTTCACAATGTTTTACATTCATTGCATCTCATTGCTGTCCAAGCACACCCGTGACCCGCCCTACAGTTGCCAGGATGCTGGACATCAGCCGTGTCTCGTTGCAAAATTTCAGGCGCTCAGTGACTGAAGAGTCCGAACCATTCACCTGTCGCATGGGATGAGATGAGAGACAACAAACTGATATGCTGGTTTTAAAAGCGAAACTGTCTGGCATAATGTTGGATCTTGATTAGTAATAGGGCCCTCTATAATGCTAAATTTTGGAACAATAATTCTTGACACCCTGTTTGTTTTAAGGGTCCTCTATTATGCTATTTTTTTTGGGATCCTAATTTTATATTATCTGAAAAACAATTAGGGTTAAGTATATGTTATTTAGGAAAATATAAATATTAAGTTGGCTTTCTGAGAGTATTGATAAGTATAGTATAGGTTTCCATAGGTCTTCTTCAAAACTGACAGCTTCCCAAAACCATCAATTCCCTAATCAATCCTGTATGAAAAGATTGCTCCTAAACAAATTTTCAAGGTAGTAGACCAGGAAGGCCCGTGATCCTCAATAATGAATTTGTTTTAAGGGTCCTCAATTGTGCGACATTGTGCGAAGCTTTTTCCTGAAGAAAGATAAAAATAGTAATTCTTAATACTACCAAGCCAATGGTTGGCTTTCTGAGAGTATTGAAAACTATAGGTTTCCATAGTTCTTCTTCGAAACTGACAGCTTCCCAAAACCATCAATTCCCTAATCAATCCTTTATGAAAAGATTGCTCCTAAACAAATGTTCAAGGTAGTAGACCAGGAAGGCCCGTGATCCTCAATAATGAATTTGTTTTAAGGGTCCTCAATTGTGCAAAGTGTTTTCCTGAAGAAAAATATAGATAGTAATTCATCACAGCTGATCCTCATAGCATTATAAGTAGTGCTACTACTACTACTGCTGCTGCTGCTGCTGCTGCTGCTGCTACTCCTATTACTACTACTGCTACTACAACTACTACAACTACAACTACAACTACAACTACTATTATTACTACTACTACTACAACTACTACTACTACAACTACAACAACAACAACAACTACTACTACTACTACTACTACTACAAAGAGAGAAAGGAAAATGAATACTACAATCAATCACAAAAGGAATCCTCCTAGGAACCCAGATATGTTTTGGTGGTAGTTTTTTTTATAGAGACTCCCATCAAGATCCAACACTAAGGTGGGAGGCCATCGCTCTTAGGTTGGAGGCCATCGCCATCACCATGATTACTATTTCCAATGCTTCCTGGGGGCTCCAGGCTCCAGGTGTTGAGAATTTCCAGTTTCAGAGGCCAAAACACCGTGGGAGTGCGGCCACGGCCACGGCCCAGCAATCTTTCCGCTCCATTCCATCCTCGCCTGGGCAAAGTACTTTGTAGCATCGTGCCAGGTGGTATTGTAACCTTGGCGCCGGTGTCCTGGTGATGAGATGATGTGGTAAGTCATGCTTAGATAAGCAAGTATTTATACCCTGTGAGTTCAGAAGGTGTTAGTTCCGGTGTCATCTGTTGGAGTCAGAAGCCAAGCCGTGTGAGTCAGTGATAGCCGTGAGCTCAGAAGCTCCGCGATAAACAGTCATCTCTGCCTCATGCACTTGCCAAGACATTGGAAGAGTACGACTTTGTACCTCACCCCTATTGAAAAGTGCTACCTAACCCCTGTCATTGGGTTATAGTGATGCCTATGGCCCTGGCTGATGTTTTTTTTCATGTTTGTTTTTGTTACATTCTTAGTTGTTTTTTTTGGGGGGGTACACATAATGCCTTTGCAGAAATGTTGCAATATTCTTATTAGCACCGCGTTCACCAGTCTTTTTGGTTCTCAACGCCGACGCCAAGCCACTCAAATAGAACTGCAAGGCCAGGCCCTCAGCCTCATACGCAGCCTCCTGCACCTTAGCTACAGGATCATCTTCCCCCTGTTGAACTTGGCTCCCTAATTATGTCAAATCCGCCTTTTTGAGGTGACTTGAGTACTTGAGATACCAATCCAGTCGAGTCCAAACAGTCTTTGTCCAAACTATGCGCCGTCCAGTGGGACGCAGTCACCTGCGCAACAGTGCCGTTTGGTTTGCACTCTTTAGTCGGACCTGACGTGTGGCCTGACCTCTCTTGCCACGAGTCTACATCTATGCCAACAACAATCATACGAGTAGCAATCGACACACACACACACACATCATATCACCAAAGAAAAACACAAACAAACATAAACAAACAAAGAAACATATTGAAACGTTACAGCTGGCAGGTTGCTTGAACCACCACCACCACCACAACCACAAAGGCTGTCGATTGTTGCCATCTACGACTGCAATCCCGGGCACCTCTCGTGGCAAATAGATCGACCTGGCCCAGCTGCAAAGCCGACTATCTCACCATGTGCGTTTCATAAGCACCACAATGGGCAACCTGTATGGGTTTCTATATAGCGGTGCAATTCAATTCATGTCAGAACCTATAGGAATCTGTGAGCAAAGAAAGCATGGATGATTTGCCATCAGGCTCATTAATCACTTGCCACCTCTTGTTGGCTTATGGGCATTGCATTGCACAAGCACATGCCATGGCCCAATCGGCTTTATCAGGCTTTGGAGCCATACTCATCACAAATATACTTTTGGCAAACGAAAGCCTACTGCAGTACTACTGCTCTGAGATATTGGTAGTACTGGTGCTCCTTGAGTACAGTAAGGCAATAAGGCCCTTCAAAACAATGGCCGCTTTTCACCGCAATGACCTGGGACCGGTCCTTCAATTCGAAGCAAGTTACATCGAGGACCGGGTTGTTCACTGTTACATCGAGCTGTCAAAGTGAAGAAATCCTCCAACCCCCCGCATGAAACACATGACTCAAACCAGTTTCCCCAAGACCAGCAATGACGCTGTCAGTCATTGCTTCAACGACTGCAGCAACGGAGCCACGTCGGATGGGACATGGTCACGCCGGTCACGCCGTGGGTTGCGGGTCTGCATCACTCCGTGCGTGTGAAAGGCGCCTCGTTCCGAAGTAACCCATGTTTCCCAGGTTCCTGGCGCAAGGAGGCTGAGAGAGAGGTCCAAGTAAGAGGCAATCACGTGATTTCTGGATAATTAAGGGATCTTGCTGATCTACGTAAGTATGCATGCTTTTACCTGGCCCGAAGCCGACCAAGTGACATGGATTGTTTGGAAACCGAGACGTTGTGTCTCTTCGTATCAGCCAAAAATCATGGATGTTTAAAAGGAAACAATACATCAATGGAGAATGAACCAAGCTAGTTCTGGTCATCATGGGCGATTTGTTGCACGGAATCTTACCCATTTGATCCGCCAACCAACGGTATCCAGGTGTACTGTATCTGGCTCAAGCACACACCCCAAACCAGGAAAAACAGAATAAGAGACAACAAAGAATCCATAAAACCTGCCAGTTCTTGATCACCTTGCTCTTTTGGTCCACTTCCATGTGAACACCGTGATGGCGAGAAAGAAAAACACCACACGCTTCACGTCCCCAAACGCTTCACGTGCCTGGGCGGGGAGATCCTTCCATCGAGTGTCTGTATGAGGCGCTCCCAGTATCCCGGAGGCGTCCAGGCGTCCAGCGTGACGTCGTGAAGCCTCGGGATCGAGTGCGCGATGGCCTCCAACCGGTCGTAGCTGCTTGTTCGTAGAAATGCCCCTGTTACCAGCGATGCCCTTTGTTACTAGTAGCTGAAAAGGCTTTGATGTTTTTCAAATGGAACAAAACGCAACGTCTATTTGTTGGTCTTATCTATTTTGTGGGAACATGTATATACGGTTTTGGGATGTGCATCTTTTTTTTTGGATGGTTCGTATGTATAAGTATGTATTTATATATTTTTTTTTCATAGACTCATCGGATGGAACGAAGGGAAACCACTCCATGTGTCTTCATCTACCGGGGTGCTGCGAGGTACCCTGAGTTTGAGACAACGCTGTGGGTCTAGTCGACATATGGAAGTATACTTATATAGCTTCATGCGGCAGTTTGTACGCAAAACATCGCAAAACTACATATATAATTAAGCTCAGCAATACTCATCAATACTACTCCACACCCGCTAGGACCGCGCCCTGAGCCCTAAGGAAGAGAGTCTCTCCGGTGCCTCGGCCCATCTATCTGCAGGTGCCACGGGCCATCATGGACCAAGCAACTGATACTTGTGGCATCTTGTGGCCAGATCACCATTATTTGACACAATTCGCATCAATTCCTTTAAAGGTGGTGAACATTATATGGGGTTCCTCGATCTTTGGGGTTGAACCGGGTTGAATTCAGGAGCCTCGATGTATGGGGCGAACGGCTAGCAACAACCTGCTTTGGACCGAACACTGCAAGATATACAGTAACAAGGTGTTCACATCGAATGTGTGTCTAAGCCGAACCCAGCCCTCCAGTTTCCTCTTCCACTCTTCAACTTGCGTGGCAAAACCAAAAACCGGCCAACCAGTGCGTGGCAAACACCCAAAAGTCTTTCATGGTCACACAAAAGGTGGCTTCACAATCCCTGACAGCCTTCTGTTTACCCAAATTGGGTAACTCAGGTCAGAAGGGCCCCTTCTTCCTATAATTGTCAAGATCATGTGAGCAAATCTCTGGAAAACGTGGGAACACCTCCCGATCTGGCCAAACGGTAGACCTGAGTGGTCCCAAAACGACGTCATTCTGTGGGTTCGGCTAGCTGATGTGCTAGCGCTTCAGCTCTTTCGTTGGCGGCACTCTCCCTTGATCCTTCACCAGTTGAGATTCTCACAGCTCTAAATGCTGCCCTGTCAGTTCAGCCCAGGCGCCCTTCACCACAAAGCGCCCCAGCCGTCGCAGCCGTTGGCTCGCAGCGGCAAAGGGCGTAAAAGGCATCCGAGGTTTCGCTGCCATTGAGCGTCTGTGTGACCAAATAGCCCAACCTGGCGGTGACCAGATAGCCCAACAAGGATCAATCCTCGTCAACCCTGCAAAAGTATAAACTCAAAAGAACCCTGAAGAACCATGTCAACAAAGAGTTTTCTGTAATGTTCTATTCCCCCTGTGGTGGTCATCCCCACACTTAATCACTGGGACTAATCCCGAGTACCTGGTACTTGGTACATTTGGTACCTATCAAAAAACTATGCCATAAAAAAAGGCATGTCACACCCTGCTAAATACAGTTTACCTTTGTACGTCCGTAATTTTCTACTATATAAGTACAGAACTCCAACCAAGGTCATTATGGGGAGATATTGTTTAAGCTACCCACCCAACCCCTCACCAGCAACACGCCACATTTGCACACACATGTGCACTCTTCCCCAATAGCACGGAGCCACACAAACGCGCTTTCCACCGAGGGGTCGCCAAACCGCATGGCACACTGACACCACCTTTCAAATTTGTGGTTGAAAGATGACAAGCTAAGAATATCCAAGAATCATAATTATTTAATTAAAGGGTTGTGCAAAGGGAAAAGGAAGACCCCTTCTATCTGGAGGTGTTCTCAATTTTTGGTATGAGTTCAATAAAGGACCATAATTCAACAGAAACATCCTATAGGCCTTTTGGTTTTGAAGCTCTTCCCAGGTCTCAAAAACGCGGCGCTGCGTTTAAATAGTTCGAAGGGACTACTACCCCGGCAGGAGCGGTAAGTGCGCTCAGAATTTTCAGCATCTTGCCAGATTATGCACATTCTTTTGTTCCACTGCTCCACACTGCTCCACACTGCTCCGCAACTGCTCCCGCGCCTTTCTTCGATGAGAATCTGCAGCATGGCACTGGTGACTTCCCCTGCTGGCCGCTGAGGGGTCCAAAGACCCACTGGCCGCGGGGCACTCCCGGGCACGAGCACTGCAGAGCGCTGGGCCTCGACAAGCGCTCAGAGCCCTCGAGGTACGAAGCAAAACGGGAGTCACAGAGCTCGGGGTGGTGTGGTGTTTAGTCCCATCCAGTGGATGTAGGGGCACCCCGACTTCCAACTTCACCCGTCGAACGTGACTACTGGTGGCTTTCTCCTTTTTTCACGGCGAGCGACATGGGCGTTGTTCAGGACAATGAGCCCCATTGAAAAACCCGCCGGAAGTCAACTCCATTAACCCATTGCCGGGTGACTCAACAATTGACGTTAAGGGATTCATTCTGTAGATTCTGTGAGGGTTGTTGGGAGATGGTCTCCTGGTCGAGCGTTCCGAACGGAGGTTCCAACACGCTCTTGGAAGGAATGCATTGTTTGTCACTTTTTTTAATTGTTTTCCTCTTAGCGAGCTCACTGCATATTGTGACCCAACAGGATTACTATTGCTGGACATATATACTAATTTGTACTATGTTACTATATAATATTACGTAAGTATTACATAATTATAGTGTTTTCAATGTTTTCACTGTTTCCACTGTTCCTTGTTCCCAACCGCTCTTCTTCACAGAGGCCTAAAGTCTTGACGCACAACCACATCACAGCCATGCAAAACACCTTCTGGGGCCTCTGACGTCGTAGTGATTCCTGGATATCTTAGGAATCCAACCCGCTACTTGTTACTGCGTCTCACCACCCTACTGAAGCCTCAGGGAGCCCAGACCCAGAGCCCTTTTGAGTGCAAAAGAACCGGCAAAAAAACACCCAACACAACAGGGAAAAACCTTCCACACCACTTGGTGACATCAGCAAAGGAAGGGTACAAAAGCAATAAGTATAGAATCACCACCCAAAGGGTTGTTATTGGATGGAGCATACAGTCAGGGGATCGACAACAACCACCCGAACTGGGTGGTGCTGGTAGAAGCATACTGGTTGGTGCTGGTGACTAAAAAACCATGCGGATGCCGGCAGTAACACCCCGGGATGCCAATCACACTGCATCATCCAATCATCCTTGAAAGCAGCTCTGGAAGATGTTTCCAAGCTAACCGGTTCATGTCCGCATCCCCCTTCCAAGTCGAATCCGGACTCTTTGATGGACGCTGAGCGGCTTCTCGATCAGACTTCCAGTGGATCACCAGTGCCGTTGTTTTTCAGAATAACTACTGGGTATATCTCATGACCAGCCAGTGGATGATGATGGTGAGGTTGCAGGCCTTTCTCTAAAATAGTGATCATTGTTGAATAAAGGTTGAATATTGATGAATATATGATAGTTGATCGTTGATGAATATTGATGATCATCGTTGACCATCTCAGCTTCTGTGAATCTTCGCCGCATAATATCAGTAGCATCTGCCTCAAAACACCCAAACCATCCAAAACCTCCATGATGCATCCAGCCTAGTAGAAACAAGTGCCACGCTACTAGGAGCATCCAGCCATGTGTCCGATCCAGAAGGTCGCTCCCTCTCTGTGTTCACGCCAAGCATCCCACGGAATCGCACCAGACAAACACGCAGCATCCGCCACTGAGGCGAGCATCCAAAGCACACTGAGGCCCATAGCCATAGTTCAGGTCTTCCGGATGAAGATCTTCCAGGCACAGGACCGCCGGTCTACTTGCTCTACCGCCGGTCTACTTCCAGTGCTGATCACTTCGAGTAAAGCCAGCATCACAATGAAAGACCTGCAGTTAACATCTTCAACTATTTCCGGCTCCTGAATCATCATCGAACACCGGCTTCTATCAAAGTAACATGCGAGTCGTTTTTTGCGGCTAGTGCGGGAAGTTATACATGAACGCTTAGTGGTTACGGGATCCGACATTGAGACACCCGACACTTGCCAATGATGATGCCAAACACATGCACACCTGGGAGATCGATGTCTTGTCTTCTTTCAACAGGGTTGCACATGGTCACTCATCTCACCTGCAAGGAATAACCAAGGAACCATATCTCCAAGTACGGTTGCGGACTCACATTGGGGAACCGGAAACCACCCGAAACCACCGGTGCCATTGCCGCCCCTTTGAGCCCAAGCCAGGACAGCCATGAACCAGCAGAAACCGCGCGAAGCCGATGTCTTCTTGTTCTTATCCGTCCTCCAAGACCAATTCCAAACACTCCATGTGGGGAATATAGGTACACACATATATACTATTATTACTATTATATATATATATACGCAACTATATATGTATATACACACTGTGTATATATATATATATATTTGTATACACACCGACATGGACACCTCTTCAACCAGCCCATACGGGCCATGAAGTGTTTGGGAATGTCGCGAAAAGAGGCAGGAGACCCGAAGCTTGGACCCTGAATAGCTTGTGTCTCTCACGGTTCATCAGTGTGGGGTGTTCTTGTTGGAAAGTCCTCATGCCGGCCCGACAGGACCTTTGGCGGACCAATTGGATTCAACATGAGTTGCTGTGGTGTGAGTCTCGAGAGCCAGCTCCTGTCAGAAAGGTCCAAAGGCCTGGGACCCGAACGATTGAACTGAGCCAGTTCACCGTTCACACAGTAAAGAAACCGTGAAAACACAACAATTACACTCCCGAAAACTCACATGGACCCTGACGTCCTGGCCCCGTGGAAGATGGTCTTCCTCTACCAACCAGTCCATGCTAGTCTTCCAGAGTGTAAGCGAATGACAGGCAGGAACAGCGTACCAGGAAATTCATGACCATATGGATCTCTTTCCATTTTGTGTTATTGTCACGTCTGTGTTTTTTGTTCGTCTTCAGAGGGCCATTCAACAACTCAGCCACCGGAGAAAACCCTGGGAGAAAGCATTTGAGATGAGTATAGATGATGTCGTAACCATGTGCAAAACCATGTGCACAACACCATGTGCAAAAGGAGATTGACAAAACCATGAGCACCACTGGGTCACTGGGTGCACCACTAGGGGCACCCCAAAAATATCCGACATGTCCCGCCACAGTCCGGCCTCTGTTGAAAAACCTTACTCTGGGCAGCATTTCGTGGGATGAATGCCCATCTCCTAATCGCCTCAAATCCATAGCACTGCCATCAAAGTCAATGGAAAGGTGTTGCCCAACTGATGCATGACTTGTCCATCAGCTGTAGCAAACACGTCACTCTCTGTCCTCCTGCGAATGAGTGAAATAGAATGAAATAGACATCGCACAAAGGTCCTCATGGTGTGGCTCAAATTCAAACGGGGCAACAGAACGGGTCTCATGTCTCAACTAACTAGAGCAAAATACATAACATTTGGTCAATTAAAATTCATACAACGACCCGGTTCAATCCACACTGTGTCGCACACGCCCCACCTGCGAACCGTCCCACGCATTCCAAGCGACGCCCTCCCGATGCCACCTGCCACTTTCCGGAGGTGACCAGTCGCACCACCCAATTGCTCTTCTCCTGGTGAAACGCACGAAACTGGCCCGTGGAACGGGGCCTCACAACGCAAGTGGAGGACGGTTGAATCTGATGTGTCGGACGGTTCGGGCAAAAGGTGAGTTGAAGAACGACCAGGATGAACTCAACGATGTTTGTGAGTCCAAACCCAACATGGAGTTAGTACTGCAGGTGTGAGATACACAGTCATGAAGTACAATGCGCAGGTCGGGTTTGGGCCGCCAACAGGACGGTTGTGGATACGGATGTGCTTGCTGAACCAATTACACTATATTATAATGGCCAAAAAACCTGGGCTTGAAACTGTAACCATCCAGTAAATCGCATTTGATCACAGGCGAGCGGCAAGTCGACCCAGTGTAAATGGTGACACTGTCAGAGCTATGGTCCCACCGCCGATTGACACGGGCGCGTCATGGAGACGGCCCGTTGATGTCACCATGGGATGTAGCAGTTGGGATGCCGCGATCATGCTGTTGAATCTGGTGGATCATCATCGGTGTGCCATCATTTTCCCGTCTAAATAGTATACATATATATATAGTATATATTATAGATGTATATAGTATACAAATTAATAAACAAAATCCACTGGAGGGGAACATTTTCAGAAACTGTTCTACACTTATCGCAGATTGAAATGCTTTCTTTGGCGTGAACCTCAACGGAACCTCAACATGTGGAACGCTCCTGGACATTGTTCACCCGACATCCCCACACCTCCGAGGTTCCATACAATCCCTAAGGCCCAAAGGGTGGTTGGGTTGTGTTCTGGAGTCGTTTTTCTTCTCTGCACACTTGCGGAGTCGTTGATCTTGTATGTACGATGTTGTGGCGTATTTCCCACCGGTGAAGATTTGCCAGAGTTGCGCAGACTAATTTGCAAATGTTGGACAGCGTAATTACAGTTGAAACTTCTCGTGTGCACCCACCAGAATTCACACTTCAAAAGGCAAGCAAAGTTGCGGCAACTATCAATATCTTTGACAGAGTTCTGTCATCAAACAACTCTACAAGTATCACGCGACACATTTCTGGGATGAGAGCCACAGGAATGGAGGTTTGCATCAGGTGCAAAAAGCACGGTGCAGCTATAGCTGCTCCTTTTCATTTTTCTTTCAGGCCCCGTGTGCTTTCAGCCATGTCTTCAAGGCTGACTAGAACTCTTTTGGGGTTGCGGGTGCCACAAACTGCTGGAAAACAAACTGAACACTGATGAGCTGGGTCAGGCATGCTGTGAGTTTGGACCTTCACAATCACTGGAAACTTGTTAGCAAGGAATCTGTTCAGTTCCAGCCACAAAGGGTCCAGCCACGTGTGTTCCCACGTGGGAATGGATGTTTCTAACAAACACTTTTTGTCCACACCAAAGCACCACCCCAAAGCACAACCGCAGCGCCAAGCACGCTTGGCGCAATGTCTCCGTACTGGTGCATCGCCTCACTCCGACGGGCTCTTTCAAGAGCCGTGATTCGGCGAAGAGGGATGCTTGACGCCAAGTGATTCGCATCTGAGCTCAAACATGGCTTGTTCCACCAACATCGCCTTCAACCAGCATCCTCATAGTCGTCCTCGGATAGAATCAAGATGAATCAAGCATGGATTAGATTCTGGCAAACTCACACGCAAACATTTTCACTGCGTTCTTCCAATGATGATGCTTGCGGGTCTTCAAGATTCAATCAAGCAGGAAAGTCCAGGACTCGAAGCAGCATGTCCAGCTCGCCTTCCTCCCTTCCAAGCCTTCGGCCTCCTTGTTGCAGGCGAAAGCATTTTGAGCGGTGCGTCAATGCTCTGCCATGCAAACGGCGCCCGCACTTGGTGCGCCTTCTGCCCCACTCATCCATCACCAAGTGCGCATCCGGCAGTCGGCTCCGATGACGCCGATGACGGACCGTCCAGAGCTGGACGAGGGCAAAGCCTGCTCAACGAGACCAACGCACCAACCAATCGCTAGAAGACGCTCGGAGTCAGGCAAGGAAGCCAACGGCCAGTCAGGCAACAATTGGAAGGAACCTGACCAAAAAGATCCGGACAACCGTTGGTGAAGTTGCGACAAGCCACGGAAGAACACCCAGAAGAACATGGAAACCTCGCTTGTCTGCTATCACCAACTATCGCGGGGATGTGTTTCCAACAAGGCACTTTCCAAAGTGGTAGTCGTTGAGGGTTGGAGTGGTCAGGAGTGGTTGCGCTTGAGAAAAGGCGTCACCCAGTGCACGTGGTTCCAGGTCATTCCATCACAAAGACAAATGACACCAAAAGTTAAACGCACCCAAGTTACGCTTCATTCGTTTCGTGTAGGGCGAATCGTGTTTGACTGAGTGGACACATGGCCAGCCAAAATGAACCCAAGGTCCTTGGACCCAAGATAGGTCAACCTGAAAATGTAGCCACTGTGTTAAGTTGGGTCATCAGACTACCAACGGCTACCCCAGTGATTTCACGACCAAGCATCGGTCATGTAACATAGCTGCGTCATCATTCGAAGTCTCCATGACCGCATGCCACAAACACAAAGACAAACCAAGAGCAGCACAAGAATAGCACGTAGTACAAAAAAAAGATAGAAAACATGGACGAGTCACTAACACATGAACTCTGGATCCCGTGCGTTCAAGCTTCAGTCCGAACATATAAACAATATAACGCGCCAAGCTAAGCAAAGGATGCTCTTCAAACCGTGTGTGCATGTGGTGTCATTAACGTAATTAACCCAACCGAACGTACATCCAACCGAACGTAACTACCCCCCCACGAGCCTCTGTTCATGTGGCATCCTCTTCCAAGCATATCCAACACACGACCACCGATAACATAATCTTCGTGGTTTGAGATAGAGTGCACGACTACTAGTGCGGTTGGCAACCCTGGAACTTACAAAACCCTATCAAATCCTAGTTTAAAATGCATCAGAGCCATCCAGTTACAACAGCTTTCAAAGTTCCGGCAAGAATACCAAACAAAAAGGCCTCTGTACAAGAGCATCGGCGTCAACACACACACTCACACACAAAAACGCATAAAACACTACGGGCAGTTGTGGGCGGTGGGCCAACTACCTTCTGAGATCTTCTGAGGATGTGGGTGGAGTCCTGGGCCCTCCCTCCAAAAATAATAGAATAATTATCCAATTTCATCCAGAACCCACGTGACCCTACATTTGACTAGGGGCGGAACTCCGACCCCAAAAGGACCAAACATGGACCATTACCATCCTTTACCTAGAAGCTGAGTGACCTCT